TGTAGGTCTTCATCACTCCACAGAGAAAGGCACTTTTGTTCTGAGTGAAAGCAAGAGAGAGCGAGTTAGTAAAACCTTCCTACGTTTCACTAGACTCACTCCAACAGCAGAGCGAGAGCACTTACTTGCACATGGGATAGGTCGCTCTCTTTAAACTGGACAAGAACTTGCAGTGCACCTTCCTCATTGAACTCTTTCAGTGCTTCAAGGGCCCTCTCATCCAGTTCACTGTGCTCCACAAGGCCTGCAGGGAGAAAACCAGGCAAACCTCAGCGTAGCCGAGAGATGTGACGATCTGCAGGACGCTTTACCACCCGTCCAGTCAGGCTCGTGGATCGTACATCAGCATAACTCAGAGAGAGAGTTCATGTGTATCATCATTCGGACAGGGCATCAGTACAGACCTCATGAGCGGCAGTGCTGCTGTGTGATTATGGGATAAGAGTATTTTGCCATCTGATCACCCAAATATTTCCAGGTTTTCCGCACTTACTACAGGAACCCCCACAAAAATCACCTGATCTAGGTCATCACTAACACTACAGGCACAGTGAATAGCAGCACCTCGTTCACACAGTAATAATGATTATCCCAGGAGCAACCAGCCCCTTCATAATTAGCATCTGTTAGTGATAAGCTGTAGGGGACATCACCTGTCTCCGCTCTAGACAGCTGCCTCTATTGTCCCGGCATATGCCCAGCTGCCCCCCCCTTAACAGCGGAGAGCTAATCCCCAGAAAGGCTGCTCTCAGGATCGGACCAGACACGCTCAGTTCAGCCTTTATTTCTGCAGGCCAGCGCACCGTTACAATTCAGCATCATTCAACGCTGCAGTACCCATTTTGCAGTGAGACCACACAAAGTTGCTAATTACCTGCCAATTCCCTATGCAAGAAAACATACGACACGTACAGTTCAACATGCATTGAATGTGATACAAAAGGATGAGTCAATTTGGAGGGTCAAGTTTTGGCTTACCTGCTAGGTAAATTTCATCTAGCTTTTCAGCAACTTTTTGTGGTAAACCAGCTTCTAATAAAGCGTTGAAGTGGTCAGAATGGGTAACTGCAGCAGACGTGTCCATTGGTTCTTCAGTACCATTCCCATTAATATGTTCTGTGGCCATGTCTCCAGAAATCTGTTCAAATGCAATGAGCCAAATTATT